GAGTAACAAAAACAAAACAGTAAAAACGTTTTAATGAAAATATTTGACCTTTTCCTACAGTCCCAGAATCCAGAGCTTCAAAGATCAGCAGGTACTGAAGACTGTTATCCGTTTCACTGTCACTGGTCGTGAGAAAGTGTTTTTTCCCTTAGAAAGTTCAAGGCCCGCCGCTCGCGCAATCTGTCTGCGCATGCGCATCCCAATGACTGACCCCCTCCATCCGCTCCCGAGAGGTTGCCATAGTATGACGTGTTCTAACATCACTCGCTCTCTCTCTCTCCCTGTCATTTGGCTCGAAACACAAATTGCTCAGTGATGAACAAGTACTCAGATCATTTACCTAAGCAGTGTGCATTGTCAAAACTAAGTAAGTGTGTTGGTAATGAACAGTGTGTTCATTACATTGACATTCTGTTGTGCAATTGTTGTTTACTTGTATTTTATAATTTGACTTTATATACTCCTGGGTGGTTTGTAAAGTTTACAATACCTAGTATTATCATTATGCTATATTTTCTATCTATCTCTATCTAATCTTAGAGTAATGACTTGAAGTAGAAAATAGTAATGCTTTATTAAAATTGAAAACTAAAGTACAGTATTTGAATGTGTGTATTGTGTCTACTATTTGTTAACTCACCATATTCATAAACATCTTAAATTAATTAATTAATTAATTAAAAACATCAATAAATTCCATATTCTATTACCACATTATTTGTGATCAATGGGTTTGCGGGGTTGGGGGGTAGGGTCTTTAGGCTTTGGCCCCTTTCCCTGCCACCAGTATATTTTTAAGCAAGTATTTTTAACTTTTATTTGAATATTGAGTTTCCTACCATCTGCTCTTAATGGGTAATTGCCAGGTAACCCACCCTGCCCCCTTCGCACACAAATATACAAACAACACACACAGTATAATTCACACCCTCATTATAGTGAAGGATGAAGAACCTTTTGTTCTTTAAAGAACCATTTGTAATAGCTAGAACCATCTACAAAATAAAAAGGTTCTTTGACATATGATGGTTCTTTAAAGAACCATGAAGACATCTGAAGAACCATTTAAGAACCATAGTTTTTCTGAGAGTAGCCCTGCCAGTGTAGCAGAACACAGATGACGATGGCAGCAGCAGCCGTTCTTCTCTGGGCGAGTAGCTTAATGTTGTCTGTGTGTAATTTACGTTGAGTAGGCTAACCACGTTATTAAATTAATGCATGTAAGGTGAACTAGGAAACACCGTCATAGTTACATGCCGGTGTCTTATTGTTTGATGACAGATACTCCTTTCACCTTGGCCAAAAAGGTTAAAATGACCAAAGAAAAAGTGGACGAAATTCATAGGGCAGTGACAAAGATCTCCATCCATTTTCAACGGTGGAGTCACCATAAAAAAAAGACTGCTAAAAATAAAAACATAAGAGGTTTTTGGACAAAGTTTGTGTTCTCCATTCTTTAAGCAGCAGTTCGAGCACCGTTTGAGCACCGGCACCGTTTTAAAAGTACTGGTTTGGCACTAGTATTGGATAAAACCTAAATGATACTCATCCCTACTGCTGGCTTGTGGTTCAATACACCTAGACTATTTTCAAGATTAGGCTTAAAACTTTACTTTTTGATAAAGCATATAGTTAGAACTGGATCAGGTGACCCCAAATCCTCCCTTAGTTAAACTGCAATAGGTCTCGGCTGCTTGAGCCTTCCCATGTTTCACGGAATGTTTCTTTTTCCTTCACATTTTTTACTCGCTGTATGTTTATACACTACTTTGCGCTGAATCATTACTTGTTATTAATCTCTAGCTCTCTTTCACATATTGCCCCCCC